TTTTTTTTTTTTTTTTTTTTTAGAGACTGGCTCTCACTATGTTGTCCAGGCTGGTCTTGAACTCCTAGCCACAAGTGATCCTCCTGCCTCAGCCTCTTGAGTAGCAGGATTACAGGTGTGAGCCGTGGTACCTGGTTCTGGGACAATTCTTAATTAAATTAGCTTCTTTTTGTAAACTTTATTTTTTATTTTTATTATTTTTTTGCAGAACAGGACTACCACCAAGTATCCTACCAAAACAACAAAAAAAGTATCTTATTAAAGTGGTATCTTTCTGTCTTAAGAAGCTTGCCCAGATTCCTAAACTCTTGGATCTACCCTTCACTGTGGACCATACATAAAGAGGGTGCTCTTTATGATTCCTTTCTTTGCAATGTGCTAGGGAAAAAAACACTACCGTAGAGGGAGTCTTTGATTATTTATTTATTTATTTGGAGACAGAGTCTTGCTCTGTTGCCCAGGCTGGAGTGCAATGGCTTGCTGTTGGCTCACTGCAACCTCTGCCTCCTGGGTTCAAGCAATTCTCCTACCTCAGCTTCCCGAGTAGCAATTACAGGTGTCCGCCACCACACCCAGCTAATTTATGTATTTTTAGTAGAGATGGGATTTCACCATGTACACCAGGCTGGTAACTCCTGACCTCAAGCTAATCTACCTACCTTGGCCTCCCAAAGTGCTGGGATTACAGGCATGAGCCACTGTCCCCGGCCAGAGTATTTAATTTTTGTCTCAGCTCCTCCATTATGTATCTTTGAGACTTTGGGCAAAGTTCTCAACATCTTTGAACTTTTATTTTCTGTAAAACAAGAGTGTTAAACCAAATAATCTGTAAGATACTTTCTAACTATAAAATTGAAAGATATATTTTTATTTTACCTACTTAAGGTAGGAAGAAATACTATGCCAGGTTTGGGGCAGAGAATCAGTTGGGCAAAGCTGGGAAACAGCCTATTTTGTTATATCAACTTGGAGCTGTACTTTAGGAAAACAGGAATGCAGTCTGGAATATCTAACACATTTTTTAATGTATCTAGAAGCCTAGTTAATATATCCAAAGGCTACGTCACTCTTGTTTTCCTTATGCCTGTTTCCAATTTGTACTGTTTCTTGTACACCACATGTACACTATGTAATACTCATTAGTCTATTTTGTAAAATAACTTGGCCTGAAAAATTCTCTTCTGCTAACTAAACTCCATCAATATAAGTGACATATTCTTTCTGTTTTGATAACTATTTTCTACCCACACTGTTGCCTATTATACCTATCATCTGAACCTAGAGAAGGAGATGGGTTAAGAGAGAACCCTAAATATATATTTTTAAAAGAAACCTATGCATTTTTAACAGTCTGTAAATAAGATCATAGGATCTTTTGATGGATAATTTTGTGTTCACATGAACTACTAGGCCCATACTAATTTCTAACATGTATTTTCTAAGTCCTCTTCGGAAACGTCGTAAAAGAAAGAAGAAAGAAGAAGAAATGCAAACTCTGGGTAAAGATATAACTCCTATCAATGAAGATATTGAAGAGACAAATATTTCTTAATGTAAGTGAGATAAACTTGCTGATAGAAAACTATTCAGGTGACATTTAACTGGTGAGACTGGGCTTACTTGCATTTAATAAATCATTCACCAGAGTTTGCTTTTATTTAAAAACATCTAAAAATAAATTGTTTTTTTTCATAGACTCTGAAACCAAATAAAATACTTTCTCGTATCTTTTTCTGCATGTTACCACAGAGATAGGCATTCTAATGCTGCATGGTTGTGGGGATATTTATATAATTTTTCTTTCTCAGTTTTGGGCACAGGAAAGAGGTATTTTAATATAGACACCTCACATTGAAAGGAAATAACAATAGCAATAATAACTACATATATCGAGCATTTACCACAATGCCAAGCACTGTTATAAGCTCTTTAAATGTAACATCTGTAAGGATTGTGCAGGAATCACAAATATTCTCAGATGATCCAATAGAGAGATTTTAATGAAAGAACCATGGATCAAGGTTAAGGAAAAGTACATTGAGGCTCCCTGAGCTTGGGAATGGTTGGGAGCTGTTGCCCTTCCTATAGGAAGGGCCAAGGTAAATATTATCTTAGCATTCAGAGGCATGTTGCAGGAGGGTCCCCTAGGCAGGAACTGTGGTTGTGGAGAGAATAGCCACTGTCAGATATAAACAAGTACAGAGGGAGGAAATAGGGAAAGAAGTATTCCAAAGTTTCTCTCCTTTTGCCTTCGGATCTTCAGCAGGTGCCTCCTACTAGTCAAACCCACCAGAAACCAGAGGGCAATGGAGCCCTGGTGATGGAATCTGAAGTGGTCAGTCTCCTGGAGACAGAGCAGGGCAGAGAAAGGCTCCAAGGAGGCACATGATGCATAACTAGCACAACAGAGCAGGATAGTTTGTAATAACATAAAATCCAACTCAAACTGGCATAAAGTGAAGGCAACGTATTGGCTCACATGAATGGCAGTCCAGAGGTAAGGTGGGCTTCACACTTGTCAAACCAGAGGCTCACACATAAGGAAACACATTATTTCTTTCTTTCTGCTCACTGTTCTGAGTTGGCTTTCATCCTTGGTCAGTTTCTCTTAGGTTATAAGGAAGGTCAGTAGCAATTAGACCTACAAGCTTCCTTGCTGACATCCAGTATGAGAGAGTAGTGTCTTTCCACAGCTCAGTTGTACAAAGCATCACTCCCAGACAATCCTAGCAGCTTAATGGGGTTGGTAAATGCTTGATGAAAATTATATGTGCTCCTAACTTATTCCAAAAACAACATTACTGAATTGAAAACAAAATCACTGGCTCTGGATTTTTAAATTATTATTATTATTGCATAGTCCATTTTTTTAAAGTGACGTGTTGTTATTTTCTTCATTCTCAGAGGCTATGAAGTTACCTTCAGGCTGGTGGCAAGCTGCAAAATGCCTTGCTCATTTGAAAATGGACAGAATGTGTCTCAGGAAAACAGCTAGTAGACATGAATTTTAAATAATGTATTTACTTTTTATTTGAAACTTTAGTTTGTGTTATTTTTTTAATACCAAGAACGTTAATTATATGATTATTGTCTAGTAATTCGAAAAACAGCAACTGGTTATATAGCAACAACAGAAGGGAAATTTCAATAAACTTTCATTTAAGTATTGTCACCAGGATTACTAGTCAAACAAAAAAGAAAAGTAGAAAGGAGGTTAGGTCTTAGGAATTGAATTAATAATAAAGCTACCATTTATCAAGCATTTACCATGTGCTAATAAGTTTGAAATATATTATTTCATTTAATCCTTTCAGCAATCCATGAGATAGATATTATAATCCTCGTTTCCTACATATGGAAACAGGGCCAAAGAACTCAAGTCAAATAATCTAATCCAGATTTAGACAGTTGGAGATTGTTGGAGACAGAATAGAAATCAAAGTTTATCTAAATCAAAATCTGTGCTTTTAACCATCATTTTTGTTCATCTGAATCGGTGCAACCTAACTCAATAACATAACCCAAGGTTTTATACTGAATTGTGTTTTGGTATGATCGTGAGATGTCAAGGCCATCTTCCTACAGGCACACAGACTGAGAAATCCTGGCCTAGATTGCTGTTACCATCATGCTTTCTATAGAATTGACTTTTATTACGTTTCTTTGCTCCTTTATAAGTTCTCAATGACATGACTACATTTTTACATTATTAAAGCAAACAGATTGGCCCCATAACTAAGGAAATGAATAGAGATGGAAAAGTAAATGCTTGGCATTCCTTAAGCCCTGGGTAAGTGTTTATGCTCAATAAAACATAAATAATGTTACTGAAAGAGGCTGTTTATACGGGAGTAATGGTCAGGGACAACACTGGAGAGACCAGGTAGGGACTGGTTGTGACCATATCCTCATTTGCGTTCTTCTTGATGACAGCATATATGATTGCCCTCAGGTAAATTTTGATGCAGTAAATTCATGACCATAACATCTATTACTTGAGACCATCTTGCCAAGTGCTCCTTTACTCCATGGTATATTTAATAAACACTGCTTTAAACCTGGAAAAGCACAATCTACATTTAGTCAATAGTTCGTGGAATATTTAACTTTTTACATTAATTAGGTGGTTCACTTACAAAAATCAATGGAAGATGCCCCCCAAATTGTGTGTCAGCCAAGCAGCTTCTTTTTTAGAATCTTTGCAAATTTTACTTTGCAATGTAGATTCCATAGTGAAGTGGAGAATTCAGACAAATGCTGAAATCATATATCACCTTCTAGCATCCGTGGTGTTTTGAGTGAAGCTGGAGCTGTACTTATATATCATACGGAAATAGCTTCCCTATCAGTAAGAGCTAAGTCAAGCAACTGATAATTTTCAAAATCTATTTTTTCTCCTGATTTAATGCTCATACTTGAAACACAATTATATCCAACTGATCCATGTTGTATATGCTTTATTTTCAGAAGCTCATTCATGCCCTTTCTCTTATGTAGTCTTCTTTGATACAAAAGGAGCTTGGAATAAATATCCATTAGAGTTTTTAAAAACACAAAACAATGCTCTAAATGTTTCTTTTTTCCTGGACTGAGTTTGGCTGACCAATAAAATCTCTCAAGCCATTTTGTTTTCATCCTAAAATGTCAATGGTGGCTCTCAAAATTTGGTAGATCTGGTATCAAGAAAGAATTTCAAAGATTTTTATATCTTTTCAAAATGTGTTTTATAGTTGCTTTGCATACACTAAATAACTTTGTTATGTAAACTGTCAATATTATCATGTAATAAAATAAATTTATTTTTAAAACAAAGTAAACGTGGTTACTTGGGAATTTTTATTTTACCATGAATTACTAATGAAAATAAATTTGAACACTATTGCTTTTAAACACCTTATGCTTTGTAAACCCTATCCATTAATGTTCTTGAAATAATCCATCCTGACCGTGTGTTTTCTTTAGGAACTAAAACAATTTGGGAGTATGTTTGACATCTATGGGACTGTCTTCCCAATACCCTGGCCATATTTTTGAACTCCACCTCCAGCTGCATTTGATTGGTCTGAGGTGGGCACTTAATGAACTTGGGCCAATTAGAGTCATTCCCAGAGAAATTGGAAACTTGAACTGAAGTCAGTCTTCTTAAGGTTCTTGGGGTATAAAAATGTGCATTTTGAAGCTATTGGCAGTTACCTTTTGCTTCATGTGGAACAGAAGAACAAAGGAATCTGGTCAGCCTACAGCAAGTGAAGCTTTAAGCAAACGCTGAGTGAAAAACAGAGACAAGGCACAAATTTCCCGACAGAACGTGAGTCCTGGTTACAGGCATTCTAGAAGTTTAGCACAGTTGCTGTCTATGGGCGCCATGAGACGTGTTAGTATCTTCATAATAAATTCTTCATTTGTCTTAAGCTAGTTCCGTTTGGGTTTCTGTAACCTGGAACCAAGATCCTGACCAACTCAGGTGCATCCTGAGATTGTGGACAATGGTTTCTTAAAGAGGAAATGACATCCTCTGTAAAACAAAATATCAAATTATTATTTTCAAATAGTGCCTTTTATCATATTAAACGAACATTTCCAGCAACAGCATTGTGTTTGCACCACACAGACATTCATGGGAGCATGGAGAGGGAGCAGGGATTTCAGCAAGCATTGATTGGGCACCACTGTATTTCAGGTACTGTTTCACCCACTGTGACAAATGCTAAGGAGGAAAGACTCTTAGAAGTTTAGAGTTTCTAAGTAGGGGAAACAGCTACTCACTGAACATTTCAATGCAATTTGTTGCTCTGAGAGAAGTTCAAGGTATTAAGGAACAGAGAGGAATGTCACTTAGCCTTGCTTAGTAAGAATCAGGGAAAGCTCCTGTAGGAAATTACACCTGAACTGATGATTGGCTCTGAGAAATAAAGGCCTCAGTCCCAAATCTTTGGTAAGCTCAAATATTTCTTTTCTTTTTATTTTTCTTTTCTCTCTCTTTCTCTCTCTTTCTTTCTTTCTTTCTTTCTTTCTTTCTTTCTTTCTTTCTTTCTTTCTTTCTTTCTTTCTTTCTTTCTTTCTTTTTCTTCCTTTCTCTCTCTGTCTCTCTCTCTCTCTCTCTCTCTCTCTCTCTCTCTCTCTCGTGTCTGTCTTCTTTTCTTTTTCTTTCAAGGCAGAGTCTGGCTGTCACCCATGCTGGAGTGCAGTGGCACCATCATAGCCTCAACCTCCCAGGCTCGAGCAATCCTTCCACTCAGCCTCCCGAGAAGCTGGGACCACAGGCATGTACCACTATGCCTGGCTTTTTTTTTTTTTTTTTTTTTTTCCTTGAGACGGGGTCTTCCTATGTTGCATAGGCTAGTCTTGAACTCCTGGGCTTATCAAATATTTCTTAAGTCTTTGTCAAATTCTACCAAGTTCCTCTGAAAGCACCAGAAGTGGAGGGACCAGGAGGTGGTGCTTCAAGGGAACAAGTGAAGAGAAAGAATCAAGGCTTCATGCCTTGTTCCAGGCTGTCCTGGGTATAGCAGGGTAGAGCATGTGGGCGTGTGAGCTGTGAGAATAGATGTTTCTGGTCCCAATAATGCTATCTGATTAAGTGATTTCCTGACGTGGCAGGGAGAGATTTTTATAGTTTCCTACAGTTTGTCATTTAGGGCTTTCCCATTTTCCACTTTATTTTATTGCCCATGGTTTAAGCAAGTCACATTGAGAGTGGAGTAAAATGTTCCAGGTCAAATAACCTTATTTAGATAAGATCTTGTTTGTGCAATATTTTGTAAATGAAGTCCAGAACATATTTCAAAGCCCATGGCTTTAATACCCAGCTATAGCTTTAACGAAATCTTCATTTGAGTATATTGTGGATGTACTTCGTTATGCCTAAACATATTGGGGCACTGCTATCGTTAATTAATTCACACAAAAATAATTATTAGGTTTCTACTAAATGCCAAGTACCTCAGGTGCTAGGGGGTATACCACTTGCATAAAACAATTTAAAAAACCCTCTGACCTCATGAAGCTTATCTTCTAGTGGATTTAATCTTTCATAGCATGTAATTTAAACAAAACTTATGCAAGAAGTTATCTTATACTGAGGACATTGACTCTAGACTTTAACTTAAACAAGTGTCTTAGAGCATAAAACTCAAGATGAACTCATGAAAGATCTCAGTACATCATAGGTTTGACAGGTTTTCCTTGACTGAATAATTTTCATATTTTAATAATGATTATGTAGAACAAAAAAAGTATAACTATGTTTTTGCTGTCAAATGTTTATTTTTGTTATACTTGATTAATATTGGTGCTACATTTGGGCATCTGCTCTTCTTCAAAAGATCTTCTATGCTTCAAAGCATTTTTCTACAAAGGAACCTGTTCCCATGTGATCATCTTTGTTAACTAAATGTTAATGCCAGAACATAATGTGCAAATAGTGTACTCTTGCCTGTTTGCTAATGTTGTCAGAGCCTAGGAATGTGTATCTTATTGGAACTTCTATAAGCTCCTATATAAGCTTCTGTATATCTAATTGGAACTTCTATAAGCTCCTTATTCTTCCCCAGGATGTGTCAGCTATTAGCGTTTGAAGTAGTCTGAAACTTTATATGAGGAAACTGTATAAACTGTACAACTACAGAAACTGTACTAGTAGTTATTTTCAAGAGCTGAATTATTGTTTTTGGAAATTTCAAAATGTGGACTTCAAGGTAGGTTTAATCAAAAATTATAGTCAGTAATTGTACTCAAATAGAAGTGTTAACAAAACATGTTTTTAAAGAACTTTCCTTTTATATTTTATTATTTTTATTTAAGTTTAAATTACAAGAAAAAATATGCAACAGAGATACTCAAGATTTGTTTTCTTTATTTTTTCTAATAAATTTATTAAAAACATGTCAAACAAAATTCTTCACAAACACAGAACTCTTTAGTGTTGCTTTCTCTAGCAAGTATAATTATTCTTCCAAGATATATGCAGAATAATAAAATATTCTGAAACTCTGTGAACCAAGCTAAATAATGATGTACAGTATTTTGGGCTTTAGTAAGAAGTGACAGAAAAACTTGTATCTCTGACTTGTTCTCTAATACCATTTTTGAAATGCTACAATATGTAAATTAATTAAAATAAACTTGTTGCTAGCTCATTCTTTTTTAACACCCTAAGAACATTTCGTTTACTCAATGAACCAGAGCTAGCAATTCTAAAAAATCATTTACACAGTGTTTTGTGTTTGGTTGACTGCTGTTTTTTTGGTCTGTTTTACTTTTAAAGATAATCTGGTCTCAGGTATTGTATCACCATCCCTCTGCCTCCTAACTTTAACTGGACTTCAAAATATCTGAGCTCTT